TCTCTCTCTCTCTCTCTCTCTCTCTCTCTCTCTCTCTCTCTCTCTCTCTCTCTCTCTCTCTCTCTCTCTCTCTCTCTGTTGTAGGCGTTGGTTCTGAAGTATCAACATCTTTATCATAGTCATTTTGTTTTTTTCCATATTTCCATTGCTTTAAGCCTTCAACTCAATGGATTATCGTGACATCCAACTCTGCTTCGTATTTGTGAACGCATTTTAATCCTAAACCTCAAGACTGGTTAAAATAGTCCTCAGACATTTTTCGGTAGTTCTTTTCTTCTTGCTTTCAACATCCAAGGCAAAAGGATTTTTTGTTCTCTAATTGCTCCTCCTCAATGTGAAGTTTGTAGTAAGGATACCCAAGGTTTTGTTTGCATTTATCACATTTTTGAATCGTGTCGTTCATAATTTTGTTTTTAGCAACAATGTTATCATAACTACCTTATAAATGAGACCACCCTTGACATGTTTGCTCGGTGTAATTTTATTAAATGTTTAGCCTTTGCTTCAGAGGAGAATAATTTCCTTCTTCTATAAAAAATTTATTTTACACAGTAAAATAAAAAAAGTATTAAAAATATATTATGGCGACACAAAATTTAACCATTCAAAACAACCAAATAAATTTAACATTAAACCCCCAACATTTACACCAATTACATAATCAAGGCTATGCCTGAAACAAAATAGCTACTTTTTATGAAGTAAGCGAACGAACTATTTATCGTTGAATTAAACCAAACAATCAACCTAAGCAAAAAGTTGGTAGAAAGCCCAAGATTACAAGGGATATTTTTACCCGTTTACAATCTTACATTATTCAGAATAATACAACCACTCAACAAGACATGATTAATTTCTTGACTCAGCAAACGGGATTAACCATTCACCAGTCGAATATTTCTCGATTGCTAAAAAGAGAAGGGATTACTTATAAGAAACTTACTTACCACTATACCCAACTAGACGAAGAAAAAGCCAAGGCATTCAATGAAGAGATTAAACCTTTATTAGCAGAATATCCCTTTATTGCTCTTGATGAATGTTCCTTTTATCCAAAGTTAGATCCTCGTTTTGGTTATTCCCTAAAGGGTAGTAGGGCGATTGCTAAAAGACCTGGTCATAAAGGAAAACATTACACTTTATTATTTGCTATCAGTAATTTAAAAGAAAAAGGAGTTATTCGTTGAAAGTTAACTGGAGAAAGAGTTAATTGAAAAGTATTTTATGACTTTGTGGAAGAAATAAATCCAATTGGCAACCAAAAGAATTACCTTTTATTAGACAACGCCAAAATTCATAAGGCTCCGAAAAAGAGAATAAAAGCAAAACTTCCGAGCATTGGTGAACAGTTAGCCGAGAAGAATATTGAAGCAAGATTTATTACTGCTTATGCTCCGATGTTAAATCCTACCGAGTTGGTTTTTTGTCTTTTAAGGCAACAAACGGAAAAGCAACGACCTAGGAATTATGAGGAATTAAAGAATGCTATTGAAGGAGTTGTTGAGATGCTGAATCAGAAAGATTTAAGTAAATATTTTTGACATTGTGCTGAGTATTTTGAGAGTAAAAATAAATCATTAGAAACTATGAAGAACTACTAACAATGAAGTTTATTTTTTTAGTTTGTTGCTTACTGAAAAAAAGTAAAGAAAATTCACGTGCACGATATTCTTCACGTGCGGGGTAAAAATTAGTATTATGGAAAAGCGAGAAAATAATAACCTAAATCAACAAGGGAAATTTTTCGCTCAGAATAATGAGAAAGAAAGGATTTCTGCTCTTGAAGTAGCTAAATATTTGCTTTCGCTTGATCCAAAAAGAAAATATTTTATCTTAGAGAGAATGAAAGGGGAAGAAGACATGCCAAGAAAAGGAGATTTTCGTCTAAATAAAATGCTTCACATGTGTCAAATATTCCACTGTGCTAAATACGGAAAGCCTTTGTTTGAAGAAAAGTTAGAAGCTTTTAGACACGGAGCAGTTATTCACAAAGTTCACGAAAATTTTAAAGAGTTTTATAATTCTTTACAAGAACCTATTATTGACTTAACTTCCGAAAAAAAAGATTTTATTGAAAAGATTTACTGCTATTTCAAAGAATTTGATGACCTAACGTTAAGAGATTTTTCTCACGACGATCCAGCTTGAAAGCTAGGTCAAGAAGACAAAGATGGCTTAATGCCTTTGAATAAAAAGCTAATTGCCCATTATGCTAAATTCTTTGATGATACTCTAGCAGAAATCGAAGAAAAATAAATATTGTGTGGTATGGCATCAGAGGCAGAAATAAAACTTAACACTATTGTTTATTTTCAAGCCGACTACGAAGATGATGATGGAGAAGAAGCAAAGGGTAGAAGGCACGTGGTATCCGAGATAAGAGGCGATGAGTTATTTTTCTTGAAAATAACAAGTCGAAGAAAAGGATTATATGCCAGAAGAGCAGCAGGATATGCCGACTGCCTAGATAAAACTTCTTATGTTATTTTCAATCGTAAAATTAGGTTTTCTTTTGCTGATTTAAAAGTTAATAATTATCAATACTTTTATATTTGTCCTCTCAACCACGATGGCTGTCTAGATAAAGAAAATTTTGATAGTATTCTACAAAAAACTAAGGAGTATTGGGAAGATGAATTAATAAGAGACAAAGATGCAATTCCTGTGGAAGCTAATGAACTAAAAAAACCTAAAAATCCTCCATGATGAGCAGTCATCACTGATGAAGAAAAAAGAAAAGAAATTATAAAGAAAAACAGAACCAAATTTAACAAAAAAAAATAGTTTAATTATTTCATTTTAGATCATAGGAAGGATAAAAATAAGTTAAATGCTGACGTTTAATTAGCATATTGTAATATTTCTCTTCTTGGTGGAAATTATTCCATTTTTGGAGGAACTTTTCTTTGTTTTTTCATACAAGTATTTTTTTAATTAGAATGGCTTCTAATAAGTTAAAATTATAAGCAATTAAAAAGAATTAACCCTGTTGCTTACACACTGACTTTTATCTGTAAAGGCAAGTGTAATTTTTCTACATAACCTGTTAAGCTATCCAAGGAAAAATTTTCCACATAACCTCGTAAAAGTCTGGTCGTAGTTTGGCGGTCTAAATCTAATTTATTGGCTATTTCTGTTTCTGAAAGGTTATTTTTTACTTGATGGCGGGTGATGGCTTGGCTAAATTGATATTTAGTTTTTTCACTAACGCTGGCTTGCTCGCCAGGCATTCAGTTGCCTAAACACGCATCGCTTTCTACTCAATGAAAAATTTTTTCTTCCTCGGCATTAATAGGAATTTCAATGATTTCTTGCTCTTGGTTTTTTTTCATAATTTTATTATATACTTTAATTTTACTAATCGGGGTGGCAAGTTCGCACTCAAAGATAAGTGTCTGCTTCTTTTCACCATCACCAAACTAGTTTATACCTTTTATTGTGTGATTCCGGATAAACTTTGAAATAATTCTTTTTTTCGGGTTGCTTGCCACTAAAAGGAAAATAGCGGTTATTTAATAATTGAATTAACTCAATAATTGTTTCTTTGCTAATGCCATGCTTTTCGTGCTTGTCGCAGTGTGAACTAATTAAAATATGCTTGATTGTTCGCTCGTTAACTAAAACGGGCTTTTCTAAGAGGTAAAGGTAATAAGTGATTACTTCTTTTTTGTTTTCTTGGGCTGTCGCTTCTTTACTTTTCATTTAATTATAAATGTTTTTAGTTAATTAGGGCTTGTTTACAATAAAACTATGAGCATTTTATAAGCATTATTTACCTTTTCCATAGTTTTGTATTAAACCTTAAATTTCCTTTAAAAAACAAAGCAATTTTCCTTATTTAAAAAAAAGTAGCAAAAAAAATTTCCCGGCAGATTCGCCTTTCAGGCTCATCTTTCCCCCTTCTTGCCTTATTTTGCTAAGGATTTAAGCACTATTTTGGCAATATTGATAAGAAAAACGCTTCAATATTGACACCCGGTGATCAAAGTTTAGCAACTTTAATAAAAAAATAAAAAAATAAAGGAGAGGAAAGGAAAAAAAAGGAAAAATTGAGCAATTTTGTAAGAATTTAGGGTGAATTGTGGGGCGAAAATGTGGGGGAAAGTGGGGGCGAAATTAGGGTAAAATTGAGTGAAAAAGCCGAATTATGAGCCCCGGAGGGGCGAAATATCGGCGGGCAAGGAGAAAATGGGCGAAATTTCAATTTTTTGGGGGAATTGGAAAAAATTCTGAACTCGCTTTGGAATTTTTTCCACTTTGGTGGCTTGCCAACAAAGGGCAGGGTTAAGTCAAAAATTTCTTATTAAAAATTTAGTAATCTTCAAAGATAAGCAGGGGGTTCTTCCCCCAAAATAAACCAAAAAGTTAACGGGAAAATTACTTGTTAAGGACTAATTTGGGGTATCGGGGAAGTCGGCACAAAGGGAAGGCTTGGGCGATAAAATGCTCGTAATCATTGCTAAAAACTCCAATTCAACCCTTAAAACTTAACAATAAGAGGTAAATAAAATGAATAACCACAAAAAAATAAGCACCCAAGCCAGCAACCACGACGAACAATTTGCCACCGAAAGCCGAGTTTTTCAAGAATTAAGAGAAATTAAAAGCGAGATTAAAGAAGTAAAAAAATTCCTTATCGCCAACAGCCTTCGTCGTTTGGTCGACAATTACGAAAAAATTAGCCAAGCCAGAGAAAAAAAACTAGCCAAAGACTGAGAACTAGCCGAAAAAGACCAAGCCAGAGAAAAAGAAGTTGCCGAATGGGACGAAATTCAAGCCCAAGACGAAGCCCAAATAAATAATGGTAGCAATTAAAGTAAAAAACGCCAAAAAAATAGAAGCCAAAAGAGGTGAAGTGTACTTAATTCGTTTTGACCCGCTGAAAAAAGTCAAATTCCAAAAAAAAGTTAGTAATACCGAAATTAAAGACCCGCATCCGGTCGTGGTAATTTCTAACGACATTCAAAATCAAAAAAGTAGTCGGATTACGATTGTTCCTCTCACTCACACTCTTAAACCCTTTTATGAGGGCTGAGAAGTTTATTCTAATTTCAATAACGAAAAAGGCAAAATCATGGGCGACCAGGTTAAAAATTAATTAAAAAGAATATGAAAAGTTATAAAAATATTGAGGAAATAAACAAAGAGTGAAAGCCTTATGGTTTCCGAGTTAACGAAAAAGGAGAAATTTTAGGCACAGTAGACGGGAAAGAATATAAATGCGGGAAAATAAGATTAGCCGACGAGGAAGAAATTAGAGAAACCGAGAGAGAGAGAGAGAGAGAGATAAAAATTAATTTAAAAGACAAAAAATAAATACATATAGTTATTAATTGAATTAGCAAGCCAAGTCAGTAGGGTAAGGTTAAGCTTTTGTGGAAAATTGGCATCAATCGAAACGAAAACTTGACTTGCTACTTGAATTAAATAATCAATATGCCGATTTTCCACAGTTTAGGCGAAAGCCAAGAAAATTTTAAAAATCAATTCAGAACCCCCAAGGGGAAAAAAGAAAAATTTTGTTCTCTCGCGCACGAGCAAGCGGGCTATATATACAATACTCTTTCTTTAAAAAGTCGTTATTTGTTTTGTTGACAAAAAGCATTAGATAAGAGAGGCATAAGGGTTGCCACTAAGAATAAAATACCGCAAAGGAAAAACTGACCGAATATTTATGAGAAGTTAACTGCTGAGGAGTTATTAAGGAAGTATGGTGAATGAGGCACAAGAACAGGGAGTAAGGTTGGCACCAAATACTATGTGATTGCTGATTTAGATTTAAGAAATTTTGCTAAGCCATTGTGGAAACACTTAGAAAAAAATTTTTTGTTGATGAAAAGGCGACAGGGAATTAAGCATATTAAGACGAAACGGGGTTATCATGATGTTTTTTTATTAGATGAATTGCCACCGAACGGAGCCATTTATCACACGGACAAGTTTGGAGTGAGGAGAAAAATAGGAGATATTTTGGCGGTGGGACGCCAAGCCCAAGCCTTAGGTAGTCCTAATAAAGAAGAAGCAGGCAAAGGCAAATGAGCTTGACAAGCGAAAAATATCCAAGAAATTAGTAAAGTATGAAAAAAGTATTTTTTAGAGATAGAATGTGGCGAAAAAAAAACAGAACAAAAATTAGTTCGCAATATAAATAATGAAAGCCAAAAATCAAACAAAAACATTTATAAATTTCTTAAACTAGAAAATATACGCATAACTAGCAAGCAAGCTACTAAAAAAGTCGACCATTACCGAGTAAATTATTGCGATAAGTACCAAAATAAAGGTTTCTTTTTCTTGGATAGTTATTTTAGGGATAAAAAGGAATTAATTCAACCGAATTTAGTGGGTAGTTTTCTTTTAATGAAAGGTGATAAGTATCAGTTTTATTTAAGGAGTTTTTAAGATGTCTAAATGGTTAATTTTTATAAAAAAAATATGAAAGTTTTTGGAGAGTTCTTGGCTCGATAAATTTGTTAGATTTATTAATTTGCTTCAAGCAATAATTTGAACTTTTGGAATAATAAAAAAAGGCAATAATATAGTATTTTACACCAACCCTTAAAATTATCAATATGTCAAAAAAGAAGTATTTTAAAAAAACTGATGCAAATAAAAATTATTGATGCAAAGAGTGTGAGGAATTAAGCGAAACTAGCACTTGCTTGCATTGTAATAACCAAAATGAGAAAGTAAGCAAAAAAGAGTGATGCGAGGAAAAAACTAACGGCATGGAATGTGGACAATTGAATTATTTTGAAGCAGAATGAATAGGAGGGGGTGGTAATGATTGTTATGCCCCACATAATTATGATTATGAGTGCCACGACCAGCAATGCCAAAATTGCGAAAAACATAAGCTCGCTAAGGATTTTCCATGAATAGACGAAGCAAGAGTGTGCGACGAATGTTGGTGAGATGCTATAAAAAAGAACCCTGAGCAAGCCCAAGAATTAGAGGACTACAAAAACTCCACCAACGCTGAGGAGAAACGGACTTATCAAAATTATAAGAAACTCAAAGATAAAATGAATAAAGATAATCCACAAGAGAGAGAGAGAGAGAGGAATTGAGAAACTACGAGAACGAATTGCTGAATTGGAGGCTATTACTAATAGAACAGCCAAACAAGAAGCCGAATTAACCTCTAAAAAACAAGAATTAGCCGAATTAGAAAAACAGCAAACGCAAGACCATAAAAAAACTAACCGAACTCCTTGGCTAATCGGAGGAGGAATAGTTTTGGTATTAGTAGTGGTAATAATCGCCTATTACTGGGGGAGAAATAAAGAAAAATAAGATGACAGAGTTTAAAAACTTATCAGATTTAACAACAACTCTCTCCTCCGAACAAGATTTTATTAGTTGCTTTGAGAAACTTCGTTGAAACGGTAAAATAATCTCTCCTTTTGACCCTAATTCCAAAGTTTATAAATGTGCCAATAACCAGTATAGGTGTAAAAATACAGGTAAATACTTTAATGTGAAAACAGGAACGGCAAAAAATTGCAAAAACGGCATTGTTTAAGTTCGAAAGAGTCTGAAATATAATAAAAAAACGATGAAGTAAAAAATTAGCAGACGAGGAGTTAGCAAAACGGCAAAGAAAAGAGGAAAAGCGAAGAATAGAATTAGCTAGGGGTTATTTAACCGAAATTGGCAATTATCATATTTTTCGCAAAGTAATCGAAGAAGCCGAAGAAAAGGGGACTTTGGAGTCTTATTGAGAATTACAAGATAAATTGTCTCGGGAACTTGCTAACCATTTAATAATTTATAAAGGGCATGATGAGGCTTGTTTTTTTAGTTGAAGATTAGCCAATATTTTAAACGGGATTGATATAGATTAATAATTACAGATAGATATATAGAGCTATATTTGTAGAGGTAGAAAAAAAGAAGTATTAAAAATAAATATATGAATGAAAATATAGAAATGGAATTAAGAAAAGTAGATAAAGGAACATTTCTCCAAGAATTAAGGTATCGAGTAGAACAAGAAGAAATTACCGAAGAAGAAATAATTATTCTCATGCGTAGTTATTTATTAAAAGAGGAAGCAGAATGAAAAAAAGGTTATGAACTAGCTGCCCAAGATAAAGAACGAGAAAAAGAAGCCGAAGCCTGGGAAAATTTAGAAAATGAGTAAAGGTTTAAACTTTTCCGAAAGGTCAATCAAGCGCGGAGATATTTACTGAATAAAGTTTGGCAAAACTGTTGGCACTGAAATTCGGGAAGACCACCCTGCCGTAATTATTTCGAATAACTGACAAAATGAAAAAGGTTCACGAGTAGTAGTTTTGCCAATGAGTTCTAAAATAGAAAAAATTTATCCGTTTGATGTCTATGTCGGAAAGATTCTTAACAATTACAAAGAAAGCAAAATCATGTGTGAACAGGTGAAATCCGTCAGTAAAAAGCGGTTAATTATGCCTAGGGCAAGAAAATTGGCTCCTAATTTGCTTGCCAAAGCCGAAATTAAGTTAAAAAAAGTTTTGGCTTTTGAGGATAAGATTAGATACTTTTTGTTATGGAGGGATAAATAATATGACAATAATCGCTTTTATCTCCCAAAAAGGAGGCGTCGGAAAAAGCACCCTTGCCCGAGCCTTGGCTACCGAAGCCACTAAAAAGAAAATTAAAGTTCTTTTAGCTGATTGCGACCACCAACAAAAAACTAGTTGAGAATGAACCCAATGGCGAAAGGAAAATAAAATAGCTCCTCTCATTACCAGTCAAGTATTTAACCAAGTAAAAGATATTTGACCTTTAACTAGTCAATACCAGTTAATTGTCATAGATGCTCCGGCCAGAACTAGCACAGGAACATTAGAGATAGCCAAAAGAGCTGATTTAATAATTCAACCGGTCGGAGCCAGCCGAGATGATTTATTACCCGCTTTACGAGAATTCAACGCCTTAAAAGCCCAATGTATTAATAAAGATAAATTATTATTTGTGCTTAATCACTTGTCTACCCCGGCCGAAGTATTAGCTACCCAAGAATATTTAACCGAAAGCACTTATTCTTTTGCTCCTTTTTACTTGTATGAACGAGCCTCTTATCGCCAAGCCCAAAGCGAAGGTAAAAGTATTAGTGAAGTTAATTTTGCTTCTTTACGCCAGCAAAGCCAAAAACTAACTAATTATCTATTAAAACAGATAGAGATATAAATATAGAGGTAGACATAAAATTAATAATATATGAGTAAAAAACGCAAAGCTTTTGGTGAAATACCGCAAGAAATCAGTGCTAATTTACAGGCTCCCGAGTTGGCTCCGTCAGATAAAAGATTTACCGGACGGACTAAACAATTAAACTTTAAAGTCCGAGAGGATTTTTATTGACAATTGAAAAATCGAGCCGTAGAGGAGAAATGTATGTTAGTGGAATTATTAGAAAAAGCATTTGTGGAATATGAGAAACAGCAAAAGAAAGAAAATCAACCTCAGCCAAGTAAACAAAAACCAGTCCCAAAACCAACCCAAAAATTAAACCAATTCTGAAAAGTCAACTTCATTTGCGATAAATGCCAAAGAAAATTTGAAAAAAGTATAGTCTACTCTCTTGCTCCTGATTTAGACGAATTAAACCAATATCCTACTTACTGTGCTGATTGTGGAGAAGCTACCGAGCAAGAACCCGAATTTTGTTCTTTTCGCACTGAAACTAACCAAGAACCCTGTCTTCATTTTATTTTTGATAAAAAAAAGCAATTGTGCCGTTCGCATAATAAACAAGTGTGAAAGAAATTCCACGAGTTCCTCAAAGAAGAATCAGTCAGCGGCACCGCCTCTTGGTATGAAATGTGAGACCAGTCGGGAGATTGGCGTTATTTCTGAAGTTTAGTTAAGGAGAAAAATAAATAATGAAAACTAAATCCACTCCCGAAGAAATAAACCGCAAAAAAGAATATGCTCGCTTCCTCAGCACGCAAATTTACAAATTAACCAGCCAACAAAAATATCTCACTAACCAACTGGCTAAATTAGAAAAGCAACTAAAAGATTACCAAGAGGAAAAGAAAAAAGCGGAGGATTGACTGCGAGGAAAGTAAATTTATTTGTTTTTTCGTTCTTGGTATCATTGAGCCTCGGATTCATGTTCGGCTTCACTACGGGGAAACTGCTTGAATGTAATGACTTTGCGCCAATTTATTCCTTATTTAAAGACTTTTTTCTCTTAACTAATCAATAAATCCCTAATCCCAATAAAACAATCCCTGCTCCGCTAGCCATTAATAAATAAGTACTCGGTTGTTTTCAAATGTTGCTCTCTCTCTCTCTCTCTCTCTCTCTCTCTCTCTCTCTCTCTCTCTCTCTCTCTCTCTCTCTCTCTCTCTGTTTGGTTGGCTTGGCGAGTGGTTGACTTTTGTTCCTTTTTGGCTTTGTATTCTTCTGCGGCTTTTTTGAAGTCTTCGTCTTTTAAGTCTGATACTGTGGCTTTGACGTGGTAAACATTTGGTCCTTGGACACTTCGGCAATCTTTATAATCCGGTAAAACATAAATCTTTTCTGGTTTGTCAGCAAGAGCTTTTATGGATTCGTTAACTATGTTCTTATTATCATCGATAAAAATATCAAAGTCGGGTAAAATTTCCATAATTCTTTGCCAGCGATGAGGTCTATATTTACCTTTTTCGTTTTTGCCAACTTTAGTCAGTTCAATTTTTGTTTGAGGAAAATTACCAAAGGTTTTTAGCATTTTCTCTCTCTTGTTCTCTATAATTCGGTTTTTTCTTTCAAGGGCGTGAGCTTTACCCGACCGGTAAGAACTTATAATTATCAACTCACTAATTAAATCTTCTTTAAGAGCTAACAACAAATCTTTGGCTATGGAAATAAGAGGTGTTTTTCACCTTTCAGGAGAAGAATAAAAACTTTTATCATGTTCTTCACGGCTATTTTTCATTGCTTTTCTCATTTGTAAATATTTTTCAATGGCTTCTTTTTCTTCTTTGCCCTCTAATGAAATACTTATGCTTCCGCCACTGCTAAATGAACCCTCTATTCTAGCGTGTTCTCAAAATAATTCAAAGAAATCATTGAACGAAAGTTTGCCTCGATAAAATTTAAAAATCGCTACTGCTTTTAATGGTTGAATAACTTCATCCCAATCACAAATTACTTTGAGTGGTCTATTTTTATTCTCGCTCTCTTGCTTAATAATATCATAAAGTGAAGTCATAATAATATTAATTTTAAAAAACTTCACATAAAATTATAAATACTATGACAAAAAATATCAAATGCCCATTTTGCGATATAATCCAAGGCAAAAAACCCCACGAAGTAATTATCGTGGAAAACCAAAAATTCCTGGTTCTACCGGATCGTGATCCTAGTTCCCAAGGCCACTCTCTACTAATCGCCAGAGATCATCTTCCTCACCTGGAAGAAATGAGCCAAGCAGATTGAAATGAGATCTTGCCTCTTTTGAAAAATATTATTAACCGAATGGATAATTACTTATCACCAGTTGGTTTCAATTGTTATCTGTGGTGCGGAAGAGAAGAAGGCGCAGGCAATTCACTTCAATCGGTTCCCCACTTTCATATCAATCTGGTTCCGATCTACCAAAAAGAATACGGTCTCAATTGGTTTTCTACCAGGATAAAAAGAGAAAATGGTGCTGAGTTAGCTCCTACTCCCCAAGAATACCAAGAAACAGCCGAGGAGTTTAAGCCTAACCCCGAACGGATAATTAAAGAAACCAACAAGTTAATTGTTGAATTAGCTTCTGCCGAAGAAGCTTTAATCCCCGGACATTTAATCATTAAGTCTAAGGAAAATATTCCTAATGATGTCAATAAAATCGATGCTGAGACTTGAAGCCAAATCGGAGAATCATTACAAGAATGCTTACGGGAAATTAAAGAAAAATTTGCCGTCAAAAATATTCAAGTTGAATTCCCTTTGGGCAAATTAAGTGGCCCAGAGCAGCAAAATGTTTCCGAACTTCAATTACACATTTTGCCTTTCCAAGAGGAAAATTATTCTTACAAAAATCCGGAGCAAAAAAGCCGGGAATATTTAAGGATTGCCCGAGAATTGAAAGGAGTTGTAATGGAAGAGAAGGTAGTTAGAGAACAGCAAGCCCAAATTATTCAGCAAGGAACGATAATTCCTAGTCCTGGTAAAGGAGGCAAATCCTAATGTCTCTCTCTCTCTCTCTCTCTCTCTCTCTCTCTCTCTCTCTCTCTCTGCTAGAAAACTCTTTAACTCACCATGACTACAAAATTAACCCTATTAGAACTTCTGCGAGAGCAAGTAAAACAAAAAGGCAGAAAAGTTAAAGTTATCAGTGATTGAGATGATGTTATTCAATCTCAAAAGCCATTTTCTTTTTACCTAATAGAAAACCCTAATATTCCTTATAAAGATTGATTTACAGCTTTTTGAGAAAAAGTTAGATTCGAAAAACTTCCTGGTGCAGCTAACAAAAGGGCTATGAAAACTAGTTTTGTTTTTGATGCTTTGGGTCCAGGAGATTACGAAAGACTAGGTCTTGACAAAGAAAAATATGAAAAGATAATAAAAGATAGAGATGACTTTCGATTAAGAAAACTGTTTATGAGAAAAGAAAAAGATTTTTATAAAAAGTCTCCGTTTCTTTCTATTGCTGAAGATTTATTAGAGGGATTAAAAGAGGATCTTATTAGTGAGTTGGTTTTTGTAAGTGCTTCTCGTAAAGGTGTATATCCAGGAGGGGGAGATCCTCGTAAAAGAGAAAAATTTGCAAAAACTTTTGCTCATTTTCCCCAATGTAAATTAGATTTAATACTTTTGGAAGTGGACCATGATGTAAGAGGTACAAAACCTCTTCGTTGAGATTGAACCAAAGACAAACATCCTGACTTTGACATGTTTATTGACGATAATCAAGGAACAATTTTAGAAGTTAGAAAACTTTTTCCTTATTCTTGTTTGATAATGCCTGATTATAAAACCAATTTTGATGTGGACGGTCCTGGCATCTACCACGTCAAAACCACAGTATCAGACTTAAAAAACGAAGACTTTGCCATTGCTACCTTAGAAATGAAAGTCAAAGACTTAGAAAAACAATTAAAAGCCGCCAGTGAACCCAAAACAGCAGAGAGAGAGAGAATCTGAAAACAACCCAGTACTTACTTACTAATGGCTAGCGGAGCAGGGATTGTTTTATTGGGATTAGGGATTTATTGGATAATAAGCAAAAAGACTAAAAAAAATTAGTGTAAAATCTATATATTGCTAAAATTCATTATAAAAAGCAAACATGAAAAATCATAAAAAAGACCTAAATAAATTAAATAAATAATGTGAAAAACAGTAGCTCGCTTCATTAGAGAACCCGTTTACCACGAAGTCCAATTCATGAAATTCTACAAAGCTACTTTGGTAAATAAAGAAGGAAAGTTTGTCTGCTCTTTTGGAGAGAAATATTTACAAGACTATTCCCCAGAAAAGAAAGTTTGCTTTCTGAAATGCAAAAAAACTAACTTCGGTTTCTCTTGCCAAGCCATAGAATTTTTGGCTAATGACGAAGAAATCACTTCCTGAGTAGAAACTGCCGGTAAAGAAGGCAAAGAAAAAGCAATTCAAAACAAGGAAGCCTTAAAAAAAGAACTGACCCAAAAGACCAAAATAATCGTTAGTTTACTAGCAAAAGAGGTGGGAAACAATTGAACTTTTCGCATTGAGTCGCAACCTTTTTCTATTTACTTAGAGTGCTCGGAAAAACCGCATTTAAAGTTTTTAATCAGCAACTTTGCTAAAAACCAAGTAGTTTTAGATAGCAATTCGTCTCTTAACCATTTAAAAAATGTTTACGTTGATTTAACTAAAATTGACCTCTATTATTTGTTTAAAGACATTGAGGAAAGAATTAAGTTTATTGAGAAGTTAACTAGTGGTTAGGGACAAAGTGCATGATGCCACTTTCATGGTTAGTTTTACTAGTTGGTGCAGTGCGGGTGGGCTTGCCTCTGTCCTCTCATCATGAGATCATTTGCACATAAGAACCAACTCTTTAAAACTCCGCTCCAACATTTCTCGTCGGCAGATTTGAGTAAGAAATTATTTTTGGGAAAAACTTTTTTTTCGTTGGGAAACACAAAATTACGCATAAATTAGTCAACCAAATTTGTCCTAACGACAAATTGACGTAACTCTAATTTTTACTCTATTTTGGGCTTAATCCCAACGAGGAAAGTTTTAACAAAAAAAATATTGCCAAATCGTCGAAAATGTTGACGGGAATTTGGTTGGATAGCAATATCACTAATTTTCTTTATTTTTTCTAAGTCTTTTTTGATTTCATTTAAGCCTTGAATAGTGGTTGAATAACCTTAAATGTTCTTGCTGATTTTGTTGGTCATTCATAGTCTTTATTTATAGAATAATTTTAATGGTATACTAATTAAGAAAAACATCGATTTTAAGGGGATTTTGGTTAAAAAGAGATATTATGGCAAAAGTACAGAAATATTTAAGTGAACCAAGGTTTAATTGGCTTAATTGCTTATTTAATTATGAAATCTAAGAGAGAAACATGATAAAAAACCATTGAGAAATTGCTAATCATGGCACTCAACCATTTAATTCATTAACTACTCCTCCTTTAACTCTTAAAAATATAGAAGCAATAACAACAACTAATTCTTATCTTCTCAAACTAACTTTAGCAGAAAATATTCAATACCATGATGAAGTTTCTAATATCATGTATTTTCTTCCTTTTGCGGAGGATGCTGAGAATAAACATGAGCCAGATGCTGAAGCTTTTTTTTACTTTATCACCAAATTAAACCAAAGTATTCAGATTCCTATTCGTCGTTCTTGAGTTGATGAACAAAATTATCGTTTTTGAGTGTTAAGTGATGAAACAATCAATGAAATCAAAACTGAGAAAAATAAGTGAAACAATTTGGGTTATAATGATTTAACTGATTATTGTTCAGAGAATAAAATGTTGGTTGACAGGGAAATAATAAAGGGGTGAAAAGATATTCATGAGGATTTTGGTGAAAAAGATTGAAGTAAAAAAACTTTCCAACAAAAATGAGAAGAACAAGGTTTAACTTACCAAGATGCCAAGCAATGAATTTCAGCAGGACTTAAAATAGATGATTATAACTTTGCCTCTTATTTAAAACAAAATAATATAACTCCTAACCAATATACTAATTATAAAGAAAACAAAACTCCCCAAGAACAATTAGATTATTTTTTTGATAAATCCCAAGTAGAAATAATTAATTTAAAATATTTAAACTTCAAGCAACCTAGTGAACTAATCATTGATAATTATCCTGAATTAAAGGAAATACGTGGAGAATATATTCTTAACCTCACCCACCAACTAACTACCTTAGATTTAAGTAATTGTGATAATTTAGAAAGAATTGATTGTTCTAACAATCAACTCACTCAAATTAAACTACCTAAGGGAGAAAAGTTAAAAATGTTACACTTAAGCAATAATAACCTTAGCCAAGATTTATTTTTTTTAAGTGGTTTGGTTGGTTTGAAAGAATTAAGATTAGAAAATAATCCCTTTTATGGTAGTTTAGAGCCTTTAAAGGGAATGAGTAAGTTAGAAAAACTTGATATTAGTTATACTGATATAGATAGTGGTTTAGAATATTTGCCTGATAGTTTGGAAAAGTTTGATTGTTCAGCAAATACAAGAAAAGATGCTAAGGTAAAAGCTATTGAAGAAAAATTAGAGCCTTGTGGAGGCACAATTCAGGGTTGAAGACTAGCTCAAGCTCAACAACAAATCCAACTCCTCCAAAAACAACAAAATCTTTTTGCCGAAAAAGAAAAACAAATCAACTACTTAGAAATTCGAGTTCAAGAACTAGTTAATTTAATCAAAAACCAAAAAGAAAAAATAGCCTTGGCTTATACTCACTTTTGCTCCGAAAAAGAAACTCTGCAAAAATTAATTAAACTTAACCTAGAATTTACCCAATTCAAAGAAAGAGAAACTAATTCTCCTAACTATGATGAAAAAAGCGAAGAATACGAAGAACAAATTAATGAACTAAAAAAACAATTAAGAAGCAAGTTGACCAAAGAAAACATGAATGAGGTAAGACTAATTATAAAAGATTGTGAAGAATTAGTATCTTGGGAATTAGAATTAGAAGCTAAAACTAACGGGAAAATTGCTCTGGAATTCACTAAGGAGAGTCAAACTATCCACATTTTAGGCAATGTTAATGTTGTTCAAGGAGGTCATGCTCTGATTGGTTGTAAATTAGAAAATAATGTTGATTTGAGCTATAACAAGTTGATTGAATTACCAGAAGAAAACAATCCTAAAAGAGAAAAAAGAGATAGTTGAGAAGAAAAAGACTTATTTAAGAAGGTCAAGGTGAACGATTGAGCAAGCATTAATCCTAACTCCACTCCTCAGCTACTAATCCAAGCCTGAACTAACCACAGCTTCACTCCCGAGCAAGCCCATGACTGAATCAATATCAATCCTCTTTCCCAACAAAATCAAACTATTCAACAACCTGCCTTTTATGCTTGGTTGCGAGACACCAAAAACCTCACCCCCGAACAAGTCTTAAACCACAGCGACCTTAACGCCCTCAAACAAGAATACCAAGCCACTCAGCAACAAGTCCAAATCCTCCATAAACCTTACGGCATTCCTATTTCTAGTGAAAAGAAAATAGAAATAGACACTGATGATGATTATATTTCTTTTTTCTCTAATGAAAAAGACAAAACAAAAGATGCCGAACAATTAAAAACAGAAAAGAAAAATGATATAAATACAGAACCAATTCCAACTGAATGGCAAAGTATATTCAAAAAAGAAAATAAATCTCAAACTGGCCGAGAAAATGCTAAAGAAGTTAAACTAGACAAGCAACAAGAAATTAAATACGAACCAATGGAAATAGATGAAGCTAATCAACAGCATAATAATTATTCTCAACGAAAATTAACCAGAGGCAATTTTAGAAGTTATCTAAGACAAAACGCCAAAAAAGGTTGGTTTGCTGACGATAAACCTAAATTTTCCACTAAAAAAGACAAATTATCCCCCGAAAACTTAATTATTTTGCCTGATGAAAGCAGATGAATCTGTAATGATGTAAGTGAAGATAAAATAAACAAATGAAGCCAGCAAGTTTATCAGGAAATAGGTCAACATTGGTGTTCTCACTGTCAAAGAGTTGGCTACTATAATGGCAAAGGTTACTCTGATTATTGCATTGACCATATTTGTGAAGAAGAAGGCTGTGAAAATTATTGTAAACAAGGAGAAGATTTATGTATCGAACATGGAGAACAACAAAATTCAGCCTGAGAAGAAAAAGCCCAAATAATTCAGAAAGAATTACACCAAGGAGGTTTTTATGACAAATAATTGAACGGATATTCATCCTGATTTTAATGAGGAATTAGTTCAAAAGTGGCAAGCTAAAGGCTTTGACCATGATCAAACCAAAGAATGAATTAATGTTCATTTCAAACCAAAGCATTTTGAAATTGCGAACTATTTAAAGCAGAAATATCACAATATTGAAAACTTCAAAGAATGTTTGAGCAGAAGCATTGGAACAACAGAAAGAATTGAAAAAATAAATTGATTGTATCCTTCATTTAATCCTTGTGCCATAGTTGTTAGTAGTCCTACTGGCGGGAGTAATGAACATGGCAAATTTAAAATCAATTTACTAGTTTGTGATCCAAAAGAAAACGATCCTTTGCGTATAAAAGTCTTTTCCAAATCTTCTAATCTTGAAGAAGCAATGAATAGAGTAAGATTAATTAAGGATGACTTAGAAGGAGACATTCCTATCCTGGCTTTGCTTAGGGAAGGGGGTGAAAAGATTTTCCTTTCTAAAATTATTAAGGAAGTAAGGTTAGAAATAAGAGGAAACGCTGTCAATAAACCCGATAAATGTATTAAAAACCATGACATCATTAGTGTCGAAATGGATGGCAGATGTGGTCTTAAACACGCAGCTGTTTATTTAGCTAATAAAAAAGTGGCTCATATTAGTGGTGAAAATGCAAATAGTTTGAAAGCGCAAAGAGACAATTGAGAAAAGTTTTTGGAAAAACGTAAAAAAGCAGAGGAATTAACTTTGTATCGTCCGTTAATTCCTTTCAAGTTTCCTAGTTTAATTGAAGAACACATCAACACTACTGTTAACATGAAATACAGACTAGGTAAATACAACCTATTCAGCAGAAATTGCGAGCACTTTGCTACTTTATGCGTAGGAGGGATTTCTTTTTCCAAACAAGCTAATACATTGATTTTTCCCTGAAGGATCGATGAATTGAAAAGAAAAAAAATTCAAAAAGAAATTGAAAAAAGTAATAAAGAATTTGATAGTTTAAGACAAAAAATGAATGGTCAAAGAGGAATTCAAGAACAAACAACAACAACTATAACCCTTCGAAATCAAGAAATTGATTCACAAATACAGCAGCAGCCCCAAATCCTCCACAATCCACCTAAAACAGCTAAGCCCTAAAATCCCTTACCTTTTCCCAACCCTCACCACTTTCATTTTTCCTTTTAAATATTATTTATTATTTTGGTGTTTGGGTTAAAAATAAATATTATGACTAATTGACAAGAAGAAGGAAATCCATTTTCAAAGAAAACGAGCCTATTTAAAAACTTTACCGAAGAATTAACTAAAGAATGAATAGACAAGGGCTTTAATAAAAAAGAAACCAGAGAATGGCTAGAAAGTGGTTTGCAACCTGCTGATGCGAATTTTGCCCAGTGATTAAATGTTATTAAAGATAAAAATTCTGAGCAAATACTAAGTCATGAAGAAATTCAAGAACTAAGAGAAGAATATAAAGAGTTTTCAGAGGAAGTAAAGAATGGTTCTAAAATTAGCACTGAGGCAATTATGCTAATAAAATCTTTCAATAATAATTTTATTGGCAGTGAAATACCCAATAATTATAGAGACTTAATGACCAAAGAACAAAAATCCTTAATTGAAAAATTGATACCTAGTAAAGAATTGAAAGAGCAATGTTCTAATTATGGATTGTGTAGAATATGCTGTCAGCCAAATATTGGTAGACATATATTTGTTAATACTGACGGTGACATGCAGTATTTTTTTTGTCAATTTTGCAATGATGAAGCTTATTTTAAAAAAAAAACTAAGAGAACGACTAGTGGCAATCAAACAATTGATGATTTTATCCACGAGTGGCAATCAAAAGTAAAAAAGAAAAAAGAAATATTAGAATGAATACCTTATGAGCAGTTTACCGAGATTGAATACTTAGCCGAAGGAGGTTTTGGTAAAGTCTTAAAGCGAGTTGAACCAACAGACCTATTTTAGCTTGGGGTAATGTGGGTGATTTTATCAAAAAGAACAAAAGGTGAGGATGAGGTAAATACAATCGATGAGTTGTTTTGAAAATCTTAGAAAATTCTCAAGATATATCAAAAGAATTTTTGCATGAAATTGCTTGTCACAAACTAGTTGATGATAACAAATGAATCGTTAAATGCTATGGCATCTCCCAAGTTCCAGAAACTAAGAACTATATCATGGTAATGGAATACATCGTGCATGGCGATCTAAGGAAATATTTAAAAGTTTATTCTTCCCAAGATCTATTAAGTTTTGGGGGTAAGATCAATCAATTGGAAAATATTATAAGTGGGTTAAACTTTATCCACAAGAAAGGGTTAATGCATCGAGACTTACATGCTGGAAATATACTAAATAGGCACATGACATGTTTTATTACTGACTTGGGGTTATGCAGACCGGCTAACGAAACAGATAAAAGCAAAGTTTTTGGAATATTACCTTATGTAGCACCAGAGGTTTTAACAGAAAAGAAATATACCCAAGCTGCTGATGTTTATTCTTTCGGCATCGTAGCTACAGAAATACTTACCGCCTTGCCTCCTTACTCGGTTTACGATAAAAAAGAAAAGAGCTACAAAGAAATATCCCATAATGCTGATTTAGCTTCGGCTATCTGTCAAGGGCTACGACCTCAGTTTCAGATTAAAATTCCTCAATTATTAGAAGATTTAATTAAACAATGCTGAAACGCTGACCCTGCAAAGCGACCAACAACTAATGAAATACTAAACAATTTAATTGGTTGGCATGAAGAAGATGAAAATTCAGAATTTAGTCAACAAGCAAAAAAAGCGGAAGAATTTAATCGAACCTTGCCAGAACATATAAAACATCCTAACTACAAAGAGCATCTGGAAGCAGTCCGTCGAAGTAAGGCTCTTGATTTTGAGAACTTGCCCAATCCTCAAAATTCTCAAGAAACTAAAAAAGTTCTTTCTCAGTCGGGAGAAATCAATAAAGAAATAAATGAAGTCAAAAGCAAAATAAGTCTTCTTAAAAAACCTCTGGACGATGAGTTAACACAATTAGTAGAAAAATTTGTTGAAACTAAAAAAAAATCGATAAAAGACGAAAAAGATGAGAGAGCGAGAAATGAAATCAAAGGGTTAAACAAAAAATTGAGGGAAAGAGGTTTTTCAAGGGAAAAGATAGGAGAAATCATTCGTTATTGCGAAAGTTTAGTTGACTTGGAACAAAAACAAATAAAGGAAGCGCAAGCCGAAGCCAAAATAATCGAAACTCCTCCGAAAAATAATTATTAAAAATTAGTATTATGGTTAATAATCAAGAGTGATTCGATAAAGAGTATCATAAAGAAGAAAAAGAAATAGAACTTGAAAATGAAAAGTTTCAAGGCTCACTAGTTATTGAAAATTATTCAGAATTAAAAGATTTGTATTTACAGAATGTTAAAAGTATGAATAAGGTAACCCTCAAAAACCTAACACAACTACAAGAGTTAACTATCTGAGATTGTGGTATACAAGATTTAGTAATTGAAAACTGTCTCCAGATTAAGAAATTAAATGTTCGTAGTAACCTTTTAACTAGTTTAAAGTTTTTGGGCAATCTAGAGAATTTAGAAGAGCTAGAATTAGAAGGTAATACTAGGTTAATTGAGATCTTAAAACCTTATCAAAATGATTGAAGAGCCTACAGAAAAAATATTCAAGAACTAATCGAATCAGCTAGAGAAAATCCTCAGAGATTGTTGAATGAAAATGAGAAATTAAAAGAAGAGTTAGAATTTTTCCAGCAAAAATACGACACTTTAAAAAAAACTCTAGAGTCATTTTCAAAGGAAATACAAGAACAAATAAAAGAAAAAGAGATTAACGAACTGGATAATGAAATAGAAAAAACAGAAGCTAAGGCTAAAGAATTAGCAAAAATAATAAATACACAAGAACTAGTCGCTAGTTTAGAAGACAAACTAAAAAAATTAAAAAGAATCAAAGAAGAAAGAACAATTGAATTACGTGATTTGAAAAAGAGAAATCAAGAACTGGAACAAAAATTAAAAGAACAAATTGCTCTCTGTCAAAAAAAAGAAATAGGTCTAAACATTCAACAAATGCTAACGGAAGAGCTAAAAAAACAATGAAAAGAAGCTTTGATAGAAAGTGCAAAAAAAGAATCAAATTCAACAGAGAAAGAAAAATGAGAGCAAAAATCTAAAGAATTAGAAACGAAACTTGATGAAGCCAAGAAAAAAGAATATAAATTAGAAGGAGAATTAGCGGCTGTTAGGGATGAAGTCAAACATTTAAGAAGTTTGCGAGAAAAACAAGGAAATCAATCTAACGAGAGTTTGGTTGGCACGTTGATCAACCAGTTGAGAGAAAAACGAACCTTAACTCTCGAAGAAGCCAAACAAATCAATAATTACCTAAAGACCAAAAAAGATTTTCTTCTTGCCCGACAAGAAACCATTAGTAAATTAAAAATCTGTTGCAATGAATTAGATAAATTTATCGAGGGAAAATATGCTACTATTAATGAACTAGGTAATGCTATAAGCAATGCGGGAGGAACCATTGCTGATGTAGTAACTCTTGGTATCCCCAGAGTAGCAGGAGAGGCAGTTATTTTAGTGAATAATGTCTTCAAGATAAGATTCTCTGCTAAGCATAGTAAAGAATTTCAAGTTTTCCTCGAGAATGAGGAAGAAGAATTAACTCAACTCGATAGTGTTTGTAAAGCTTTAACTAACATCCTAAATTTAAATGATGAAGCTAAGCCGTTTAATACTGACTGTAAGATTTTTGATGTTCTCACCGACGAGGGCATTTGGGAAGGAAGGTTCTTGAATTCCGAGAGAATGGAAACAGCAGTAAAAACGCTTAATAAAAACCTTAAAACATTAAAAATTGAGCAGGAAGAAGAAATCAAAGAACTCCAAAGCCAGTTTGGTAAGGACAAGATAAATCTTAGCCTTGCTCAGAAAGAGGATTTACAAAGCCAAACTCAGGCTAAAGAAACAGAGCTAACAAAACTTATTAATTCTGCTAAATTTAAACTAAAAAGCAACAGCAAATTTTCGGATACTAAACGTCAAGAAAGAGAAGAAAAATCAGCAGTGTTCTTTAAAAATCTTCCTACTAATCCAGAAGAATTTATCAAAAGTTTAGAAAATATTAAAGCCGGATTGAGTAAAAAACTAACTAATGAAGAAATAAATAGTCTTTGCCGAACTAGTCAGGAATTAAGGCAATTAGAATTGGATTTACAAGATCAACAGCAAGCCCAAATACTCCAGCCCACTAACCCGCCTTACGGCACTCCCAGTTCCAGTAAATAGTATATCTAACCAAATAAAATTATTTCTAAAATCAAAGCAAAACAGTTAGTTTTATTATTTTCGCAATTAACTAAATACTTAATAAAGAGAAGCTCGGTGAATTTTTACTTTATTCTCTTTGCTTAAATTTTCCCTACTTTTCGCTTCAATAAATTAACCAACCCAAACAAAAAATCAGCAAAAGCGGGAAAAATAAGAGAATTAGGAAGAATTTGATAGTTGACATTAATTAAAACAATTTTTTAAGATATTGTTTTTAGTGTTCTAGTCGCAAGTTATTTAATCCTCTAAATCTAGCACTAATTGCAATTTTTCTTTGACTTCATCCATGATTTCTTGTTCTACTGTTCCAAGATAATCTCCTAAACGAGTTGTTTTTTCAATATTTCGTAAACGATTAAATAAAAGTTTGCTGCCCTCGTCTAGTCCGTTTTTTTTATTGCGTTTGACGAAAGACTGATAGGGTTCTATGTTGTTTAATTCTTTACTGCTTAGTGGAATCACAATAATTTCTTCGTCAAACTCATTTTGGCTATTGTTGCTAACTACCAAAGAAGGACGAATTTTTTTCAGATAACTGGCTATTTCTAGTTCTCTTTCTTTACCTTTTTTGACTTTGTAATTGTAATCTACTAATCAGATTTCTCCTCTTTGGGGAATTTTTTTAATGGTTTTACTCATCAATACCGTCTTCAATGCTTCCTTCTCAAACTTTGTCTTCTTCTCTCATTGCTTTACTCTTGGCGGTTCTCTGATAGGCTTCTTTTAGGGCTTGTAATTTTTTTTTCTTTACGTATTCTTTTAAGAAATTATTAATAAAAGGGCTTATTTCACCTTTTGGAACTACTTTTTTTGCTTCTTGGTAAACTTTTGGTTCAAGGGTTATATTTACGTTCTTTCTCATATTTATAATTTTACAGGGGTAATTTTATAAACGTTCTTAAATGCGCTTCTTTAATTCAATTAAGTTAATTGTTTTCACCTATCTGACTCTTTAATAACTTGCCACGAGAAATAAGCATAACTTAAAGCATAAATAATGCTAATGATAAGAAAGAATATTGCTCATCATTTATGCCTGTCTGTTTTGTTAATAAAATTAAAATAACTGCCTATGACAATAAAAGGCATGGCTAGACCACAAGTTAAAATAAAAAAGACTTCTAGGAAATTACTTAGTTTCATTAGGTAAATTTTAGTTATTTTTACTGGAAATAGGAAGTCCGTAAGGTTCTTTTTGGAGGATTTGGGCTTGTTGTTGCTTTTGTTCTTCATCTAACTTAACTATTTTATTTTCTTCCTGTGTTTCAGTTGTTGAGGAAACTGATAAAGCTCTTTTAGTTTTAGAAAATGGTAGTGCTTCAAATTCTTCATTTATTTCTTCAATACCAGTGATATAACTATTGTGAGAAAGGTTGGTATTATCTCCAAATTCGTTGCCAATAAAAGCATGACCTCCTTGAACATTAATATCTCCAAAAAGGATTAGATTTTGTTGTCTGCCCCTTAAGAAAAACTGTCCTTTGGTAAGTTTAATTAAGTCTTCAATTATTGTCCTAGCATTCTCTCTGATTTTGTCTAGTTGTTTGTCTAGTTGGGTAATTTCAGTTTGGAGTTGGCAAAGGTTATCAACTTCTTTAAAACCCTCTTCTTTTAAATCTTTTATTATTTCTTTTTTCTTTTCATCAGCTCCATAAGTGTTATAGCGAGTAAATTCCTCTTGAGCTTCTAAAAGATATTTTACTAAAAGCTTTTGGTGTGGCTTGTAATCACAGTTATTTCTCAGTGTTTCTAATGCTTTATTTTTCTCTCCTAGTTTTTTTAATAATTCTTGCCGGTGAGTAGCTTGCTCTAATAATTCTTCATATTTGGCTTGGAGAGTGGTTAGTTTTTCTTCTAACTCGGTTTTTTCTTGTTTTAGTTGTTCTTGATTACTAAGGCTGGTTTCTAACTTTTCTTGTTTAGCTAAGATTTCAGCTTCTAGTCGGGCTATTTGTTGCTCTTTGTCAGCCAATAAGAGAGATTTAGCTATGAGGAATTGATTGTCTTCTCTTCATTCTTTGAGGTTGTAAGTTTCATCTTTATTTTTATAAGAAGCTAAAATATCAGCTAATGGGGTATTTGAACATCAAAAATATTCTAAACTATCTGGTAAGTATTCTAAACCTTGATTGATATCAGTATTGCTAATCTTTAATCATTTTAATTTAGTTAAATTTTGTAAGGGTTTTAAACTGCCAATAAAACGATTATTACCAATCCTTAAATTCTCTAAATTAACCAAATGACTGAACAAGGAACAATCTCCTGAAAGATTATTATCCATGATACTTAAAATAGTCAATTGTTCAGCTGAGGAAGGAAGAATTAAATCTTTTAATTTATTACTACTACAATCAAGTTTCTTTAATTGCTGACAGTTAGTTAAATTTAAGGAGGTTAATTGATTAACATGACAATATAATTCCTCTAAATTAACAAAATCAGTTAAATCTAAGTTGCCAATGAGGTTTTTATAGCTAATATTTATTTCTTTGATAGTGTTTCTTTTCTCCTTGGGATAAAAGAAATCTAAATATTTTTGGGCTGGTGGGTTTTTTCGTCAAGCCTTAAATTTTTCTTTTAATTGCTCTAAGTTCAAACCTTGATTGGGTTGATAGTTTTTGCCTCTTAAATAAGCAGCAAAATCATAGTCATCAATAGTTAAGCCTTTTTTTATTCAAGATTGAGCATCTTGGTAGGTTAAGCTGGCTTCTTCTCATCTTTGTTGGTAGGTTTTATCACTTCAAGGATATTGTTTTTCACCAAAATCCTCATGAATATCCTCTCAATTAACCATTAGTTTCTCTTTTCATTATATTTACTTTTTAATAAACAGTATCATAGATGTCAGTAATCTCGTTAATATCACTAGCCATTTCTAAATGAGTAATTAAAGCATCAGCCAAATCAATGGCTGTTCATTCTTTGGCAACCCTCATTTTTTTTAATTCTTCAGCTAATTGTTCATGCTCATTGGTTTTTATTACTTTTAGAATTTACACATTTTCCACTTCTCTTTCCTCCGTAGCACATTTTTTGCATAATCCACTATCTGAATCAACTTTTTTAACTTCAAAACAATTCGCACACTCTCCTTTTACTCACTCAATTTCTTCAACTTGGTCGGATGTTTTTAGTTCTTTTTCTCATTCTTGCTTAACCTCGGCTTGAATTTGCTTTTGTTGTTCGCATTTTCAGCACTTACAGCCTTTTTTGCCCCGCTCCTCGTGAAATTTAGCAATTTCAATGTCTTTTTCGTGGGTTTTGCCTTGATTTGCTTGCTCGGTTAATTGGTTGGCTAGTTCTTTTTCTTGACGGGCTTTTTCTCGCCCTCAGTATTTGATTAACTTGGCTTTTTGTTTCTCGCCCAAATTATTTCAACTGCTGGCTTGGTGGGTTTCTCTTTTGGCAGTTTCTCAGTAATCACGGATAAGTTTATCTGCTTCCTCTCTGATTTTCATAATTTGAATGATATCATAAAAGCCCGTTTTGTTTAAATCTTTAAAAGTTCATATAAAATCTAATCAAAGTTTCTGTTTTGCTGGGCTTAGTTCAGTGTATTCTTTGAGGGACATTAAAATTTGAATGCTATCTGCTTCGTAATATTGCCTTAATTCTGCTTGTTCTTTCTTTTTGGCGTATCTTTCTTTCCGTTGTTGTTTTTTCTTTTCCTTATTTTTTTGGTAGTTCTCTTGGTAGATTTGTTGCCGGGATTTCGGTTGAATTTTATTCTTGGCTAGAACACTATTTATAGTGTTGGGGAATGATTGCTTTGGTTTTCTAAGGCTTTTTACCATATATCTAGTTTTAATTGTTCCAACTGTTCCAACCAAATTAATATTAGTGCTATTCCTTGCCCGCGGACTAGACAATTAGGTTTATTACAATATGCTAATTAAACGTCAGTATCCCAACTAACCTTCCTCCCTCTCTTCTAAAAACTTCAAACATTTATCACACAATTTGTCCTTTTCCTGCAAAGCTTCAAAGAACCTAAAAGCAAAATCATTAAACCATTCTTTTTCCTCTGAATTAACAATATTCTTTTGAGCATGACTAGCAAAAAGACTTAATAATTCACAGCATTTAACATTTTTGCTTTCCATATGGTAGATTTTAGGGTTTATCATTCCTAATCAAGTATTGTTAATGTTAAGCCTAGACATTAATTTATTTTTACTCAAAAATTCTTAATATTACCCTGCAAAAAATTAATTTCCGCTTTTAACCCATTTTTAAAAACATTATTTAAAGTTTGAAAAGATAAGGTTGATAAAGGTAAGTGATGTAAAAAAGAGTAAGGTAAAAATAAGTTATGACTAATTGAAGAGATATTCATAAGGATTTTGGTAAAAAAGAATATTCTTGAATTGATAAAACCTACCAACAACACTGAGAAAAACAAGGTTTCACTTACCAAGATGCCCAGCAATGAATTCCAGTTGGCTTTAAACCAAAAGACTATAACTTCGCCTCTTACTTAAAACAAAATAACTTTACCCCTGAACAATATTCCAACTACAAAAACAAATCTCCCCAAGCACAATTAGATTACTTTTTTAATAAAACCCAAACAGAAACAATTAATTTAAAATATCTAAACTTCAACCAACCTAGTGAACTAGTTATTGCTGATTATCCTAATTTAAAGGGAATTGATGGACGAAGCATTCCCCACCTCACTCAACTAACCATCACTAATTGTCCTCAGTTAGAGAAAATAAATATTGAAGGATCTAAAAACAATCAACAATTAATCCTCAATAATTTACCTAATTTAAAGAGACTTTTTTGCTCTAGTAATAACCTAACCACCTTAGATTTAAGTGATTGTGCTAATTTAGAAATAATTCATTGTTATAATAATACACTCATTCAAATTAAATTACCTTTGGGAGAAAAATTAGAATGATTATGATTAAACGATAACAACCTCAATCGAGACTTATCTTTCTTAAGTGATTTTGTTAATTTGAGAGAATTGTATTTAAATAATAATCCCCTTTATGGTAGCTTAGAGCCTTTAAAGGGAATGAATAAGTTAGGATGACTTACTATTTATGATACTGATATAGATAATGGTTTAGAATATTTACCGGAGAGTGTTAAATATTTTAAATGTTCAGTAGATAAAAGAAAAGAGGCTAAAGTAAAAGCTATTTATAACTTATTTGCTGATGAAAAAGGAGAAGTAGAAACAGATAGAGGAAGCATCAAAAAATTTCCCCATATGATTAAAGAAAAGCTTCAAAAAATTAAGAAAAAAATTGAACAGTGAAAAAATCTTAGTTTCACTAGTGAAGAAATCAAACAATGAATAAACCTTGGCTTAAATCTCACTGATTATGATTTTGCCGAATACCTAAAAATTAAAGGTTATTCACCTAATTCTAACCTAAACCTAACCGAATTAAGAAAAGAATACCAACAAGAATTACAAAACCAAAAAACCATTTGAGAAAAACTTCAAGGAAAAGAAATAGAAGAAACCATCTTGTTAGAAAGATGAAAAGAAACTAATAAAGAGTTAATCGATAAAATCAAGCAAGAAAAACTAGAAGAGCAACTCAAACTTCTCCAAGAACAAAAAGCCAAATTAGAAGAATTAAACCAAAAACTCCTAGAAAGAATTCCTTTCTTAGAAAAACAAATCGAAGAATACGAGTTTTTAATCAAGGAGCAAAAAACCAAAATAGTCAATAATTATCTCTTATCTTTCACCGAAGAAGAAAAAGATGCTTTGGAAGAATTAATTAAAGTTCACAAGAATTATTTAGAGGCAAAGAAACAAAAATCTCCTTCTTTTGGATTTAAGCAGAAGTATGACGAGCTTTATTACCGATTAGAAAATAAACTTGGTAGTGAATTTATCGAAGCAGTGGAAATTATCCTCACTAACTTTGAAGAACTCTATCAAAGAGAATGAGATTATCAAGAACAAGTCAAAGAAAAAGAACAAGCCTTAGCCAATGTTTTATTAATTAAACAAAACATAGCTGGAATTGAAGAGAACATTAAGTCTGTTCATCTTACTATCAGTTCTCCAAATTATTATAATTATATTACCATGGGCGATATCGAAGTAATGGGAGGTCATGCTATGATTGGCAACACTATTGGTGATAATACTAATTTAAGCCACAACCAATATGCCACTAGAATTGAAGAAGTAGAATTGGAAGCCAAAATCCTCCAACCTACTTACGGCATTCCTAGTTCGAGTAAACCTTAAAATTCCTATATGACCGAAAAACAATTAACCCCTTGTGGCATATGCCAAGGTGAATTCATGCTTGACCTTGATAATCCCACCAGATACATGGCTAGGGACAAAGGCAAAAAGATTTGGATTTGTCCAGAGTGTAGGAAAATATTGGTGGGAGAGGGCTAAGAATAAGTTAAGAAATTATGAGAAAGGTTTTGCTTGCTTATTGATAATGTTTATTTATGCTTATTAACCAAGACTTGAATTTCTGCTTTGAATTGTTCTAAATTAGTGATTTGAGTCATAGTCAGATCAGTTTGGGCTTCTTTGCTTTCTTTTTTTAGTGATTTCAGTTTTATTTTCGGCAGTTTGCTCTAACAAGAGAATGTTTTGATTTTTTAATCTTTGGTTCTCTATTCTAAGTCTGTTTAATTCTTGCTCAGGAGTTTCATCTTCTGTCCCCACAGCAACCGAGCTTGCTACCGCTACTGTGGGGTATTTAAAATCCCCTTGATCGTGAGCCGTCTTTCAAATGAATACACTTTGACCATAAGGTTTCAAATAAGATTCATAAGAAGTGCCTTGGCAATCAAATTTAGTGGAATTAGTTATTGGCAAGTATTCTAACCCCTCCTTAATTTCAGAATTCCTACCAATGTTTAAATGTTTTAACTTAGAACAATTTTGCAATGCTTGCAAAGAACCTTGGAAATTACTTCCATAAATGTCTAAGATTTCCAATTTAGTTAAATGAGAAAACATGTTTAAGTTAGCTTTTAACTTACGGCTATGCCTAATTTTAATTGAAGTCAATTCAGGATTATGACTTAAATCAAGACTGGTTAATTCACTGACATCAATCGACAAAGACTTTAATTTAGAACAATTACTCAGATCAAGAATGCTAATTTTTTGATTAGCACAATCTAGACTTTTTAAATTAGTAAAATCTTTCAAGTTGAGTTCGCCTTCTAATTCAATATAATAAGAGTCAGGAAAATTTAAAAATTCAACTTCACTCCTTTTCTTACCAAAACTGACACGATTGTTTCCCGAGTTGAAGCTTCCATCAACTACACAAGTTCCACTAGGAGGAAAATAAGTGTCTAATCACAATTTAACTTTCATAATATTAATTTTTACCCTCCTCAATCTTATTTTTCTTTCCTAAAAAATAAACAATCAGTCCAATGATTAATCCTGCTAACACTAATCCTCCGCCAATTATTCAAGGTCAGTAATTTCTCTTAGACTCAACTGTTCGAACGTCAATCTTTTCTGAATTACATTTAGGGCAAGTTAGAGGAGGTATGCTTGTTTCAGGCAAGTCCTTTTTCCAGTTACAATCGGCACAAAAAGCCTCTTCTTTGGCTGAAATTTGCTCTCTCTCTCTCTCTCTCTCTCTCTCTCTCTCTCTCTCTCTCTCTCTCTCTCTCTCTCTCCCTCTCTCTCTCTCTCTCTCTCTTTTTTTTTTTTTTTTCTTTTCTTTTTTTTTTTTTTTTTTTTCTGTGCTATTTCCTCTT